TGTGAGCTAGGCTGACGCCACGGCACTCTAGCCCAGGCAACAGAGTATGATCCTGTCTCAAAAAAAAAAGTTATCAATTCTTATTGTTCAGGCACCACATCTGCAGTAAGATCCTAGGAGAATAACCAGTATGGTAAAAAACAGTGCCAAAGGAATATCTAAAAGTCTTTGAGAATGTTTAAAGAAGAGAAAATTGGGAATAGGCAGAATTAGCTATCTTAGATATCTAAAGATATTTCTTCTTGGCAGCTCCTGAGGTCACACATAAGGACAACAGAAATTCTAAGAGGAGAAAGAATTTGCATCATTATTGTAGGTAGTACAAGGGCAAGCAATAAGGAATATCCACAAGATCTTAGGATGGTTTTCACTGTTTTGATGGATAAAATCAGTTAGGTTATCAGTGAACACCCCAAATCCAATCAGGATGACCCAGGTATGAAATTGTATCGACCGTTTATGATAGACTGCAAAGAGGGCTCAAGGTGTGCAGCCTCCTTTGAAATATGACATTGACGTTCTTCTTATCAAGAGGTGGAGTCTATTTCACCATGCTTTGAATCTGAGTTGGCCTTGTGATGTTTTGACCAACATAATATTGAAGTGACATTGAGTGACTTCCACTCTCACCTCTTGAAACCCTGAGACTACCACGAGAAGCAGGCAGGCTAGCTTCCTGAGGATAAAAGACCACATGGTGAGAAAAACCATCCCAGCTGAGGTCCCAGACCTGTGACTGAGGCTCTTACTCCAACCAGCCTCAGCCTAGCCTGACTGCAGCTAAGTGAGTGAGCAAAGAGGAGACCAGCAGAAAACAAAGTGACAATCCACAGAATAGTGAGCAAATAAAATGGGTTGTTATTTTGAGTAGCTAAGTTTTGGGCTAGCTTGTTGCACTACAATAACTGATTTTGTCTGAAGGATGCATTAATACAAAACATAGTAGCCTGCTAAGCAGGTAACACTAAAAAATAAAAGCATTTAGGAATCTCTGGTATATCATCCAAGAAAAAGAACTCGTTGACTCAAGTATTAGGACCATGTGGCAGACTTATTCCTAAAGAAGAACTTAACACCTAATTTAAAGACATTAGCTATGAAGATTACCCAATTTCCTTTGAAAACTCCATGTCCACCAAATAGCGTTTAATTATAACTAAATTTCTCACATAACTAATCATCAGTATGGCAACTGGTCAGTGCGAAAGGCATTTTTCCCTACTATAAATTGATGGCATTCTGAGATGTCCATTTAATACCTAGAGCTTAATCATTTGGGGCTGTAGTAAAGAAGGCAAATGTCTGAGCAGACAGAAGAAAGTGGTACATACACAAAGATCTAGGCAGCCAGCCTGCATTCCAGGCAATGTCCCTATTTTCTTGGTGCTACTTCTATAAATTTCAACAGATATTAGGAAGAGTTTTCCATAATAAGCACCATGTGATAGTAAATAGTAAGAAGAACATTAACTCTAGCATCCCAGTGATGTGAGTTAGAATTCTAGTTTCATCAACTGCTAGATATGTAATTTTGCATACTATGATTATGGACTTATGCCCCCCCATCCCAACCTCAGTTTCCTCATCTGTAAAAGGGAGCTGTTGAAAGGACTGAATTAACAAGTGAGAAATGATGAACAATGAAAATAGGAGGCCTTATAAGCTAGTCAAACCTCTTCCACTGGAAAGCCAGGATGGAATATAAGCTGGATTGTTAGTGATGTTGTGGATGAGATTCCTACATTCTGTGTAGAAGGTGGGACTCACAAATACATGGAAAGTGTATTCCAATTCCAAGTATCTAAATGCCTAAAAAAGTTATTTTATTTAGGAGATTAAGTCACTGGGTAATACAACAATATACAGGAGCAGAGTGAGATGTGTAACTCCTACTTAACAGTCTGAATTTAGAATTTGATATTCAGACCTGACTCTTCCATTTTTGAACAGTCCACAGGCAAAAATAAAAAACAAAATTGTTGTCACCTAACCAAAATTACAGAATAAATTTTTATCTTATTTAAGAAACTAAATTATGCACTTTTTCTTATTCATTTGCTGCCTATAGTTAATGTGCCATTTTTAATGAGTCTTCTTTACTTATGAAAGCAGGCCAAATAGGAGTTAGCAATCAGTTAAGGAGAATGTAGTTCAAACAAACGAAATAAAGGAGTTTGTGCTGTGTAATCACTGAAGATGCATCCTGGTCACAGTCCCTGTTTCAAAGAATTCAGAGTCTTAGAGAAGACAAAATGTGAGGCAACAAATACACTGCATTACAAGGCCATAATATGACATTACACTAGAAAAGATGGAGGGGGTGATTATTGCTGCTTAGGAAAAAGAGGAAGTAGGCTAAAATACCACATAAGATAGAGACAGAAAACTATTTAGCAATTAAAAGGCCACTGGCTTAGGACAAACTAGGATGGACCCAAAAAAAAAGTCACTGGCAACCTCTACTTACCAGAGTTAGAGGCAAAAGTTATACTCTGTATTGTGTTGGAAGCGAGTAAGACTGGGAGGTGTAGAAAATCTCTTTGAGACTGATTAAAGTAGAGAAATTTATATTGAAGAAATAAAAAACCCAAGCAAACAGGTGAGCACAGTGGTCTTCAGACAAATACAAAAGAAAAACATTCAAAATAATGCACTTAAAGGCTGATCTTCAAATAAGTTCACATAAACCAATCAGTGATTTAATGAATGAGTGAAAAGAGAGGTTTCCTTCATAGTTTCTCCAGACTTGTTCCAAGGGTCAGATTCCCATAATACTACAGACCACCATGAATGTATTTTTGGAAAGATCTTTTTGTAATTATTTAAGAGAAAGTAATTCAAAATTTAATATGATTAAATGGCATTCTTCCAATTTTGCCAAAATTGGTTTTGTCCAAAGTTCTGAAGATTAATACCTAAGAACACCAGTAATAATGCTTTTGTTCAGAGTAAACGATCAAATATCTTTGCCCCCAAACCAATCATCTCTCTTGGATTGCCTATAATTTCTAAACACCTAAACACTTCAGCACAGAGAAAAACAAAAAATTTAAAAACCTAGTTATTTAAAAATGTTTAAATGTCATGAGACTACAAAGGATACAGTTTCTTAATATTAATGGAAGATAGACACGTTTGGAATGACAAATATCTCCTTTATTTTAGCACTTCAGATTTCTCCATGGTTAATTCCTCTCAAGAACCAAAGTACATGAAAAATGTTTAATTCACAAAGGATAATAGCCAATATTCACCCTACTCTGTAAAGTAAGGAGAACCTCTTAAAAAACAAGACTGTTTACAGTTTGAAATTTAGGCCTGTTTACTATTTTGTTGGCAATCTTAAATACAATTTTTATTCAAATTCAGAATTGTTAGCAAGGACTTTAGCTTACACCCTTAAAAAAAAAGACAAGACATCATCCTTGTCCAGTTACCTAATCCAAATTCACTTAGTAGTTAAAGAGTGAACTCTATTTTAGTAACAAAACAAGTCTATACAGGAGCAGAGTGAGATGTGCACTCCTACTTAAAAGTACAGTCTGAAGAAAAGTACTATGTACTTCTCTAGATACAACATGTTTAATGTATAACCCCCTTTCTGTGGAGCTGAAGAAAAAGAGGGCTTACTTAAAATAAACACTCCAAGGAACTTTTCTAACCTCAATACTCATTTCTCAGACAGGTGCAGAGTTTGCCTAAAGCCCTCCCCTTCGATCAAGCCCCTACTCAGAAAAAGTGCGTCCTACACACAATGTATTTGGTTGCTATAACACTTGGTTTCTAAGCCACAAAGGGATTCTTTCTGAGTAGAGAGGATAAAGCATTGGAAGAGGGGAAGATCAGGCTGTTCCAGTGATTGATCAACTCAGGTTCTCACTTGGAGATCCTGTTTAAACACAGATCGCTAAAACGTATCCCATTGCTTCGTGTCACAAGGACAAGGAGATCTTTTGGGATAAATCAAGCGACAGACTGAAAATTTAGAGGCTGAAACGACACCAGCAGCAGCTCCGGGTTCTTATCAAAACAATAGCGAATGGCACATGTCAGGCAGCCCACATGCACAGGGGGATAAAGAGGCGACTGGCTAAGTCTGGAGTTGAACTTGTCTTAACCCCCTCCCCCTACTCCACCGCCGAGCTCCTGGCTACGCGAAAGTGAAAACGAGGGGAGCCTAAGGCCCTACTCCCTTCCCCCTTCCTCTTCCCCTCGCCCAGCCCCGACTTCTTCCTCACCGGTCTCCCGGGGGCGGAGACGCTGAGTTCCCCGGGGACGGGAGTTAGTCACCAAGAAGAGGCGGTGACAGAGCGCACGGCTCGCGTCGCACACTCCGAGGCCTACTAGCGCGGACGGTAGGCCGCCCGCGGAGGCTCTCGTGTCCCGGGCCCCACCGCCCCCGGCCCGCTGGAAAGCTTCCTCCTCCCTGCTAGAGGGAATCTCAACTCCGCTCCCTCCCACCCCTACGCTAGGCAGCTCCAACGTCAGACCCCACTCCCGACCGAGGAAACGAAGCCCAGCATAGACGTTTCCTGCCCACGGAGGCAGGGATTCCCTCCCCAGGCCGGGGGACTGCGGCCCCGAGCAGCTGACCCGAGCGGGGATCCCCTCTGCCGCCAGGAGGGGATCCCGGAACTGGCCCCGGAGTGCGCGTGTGGTCGCGGCGGGGAGGGGCGAAGCGGGGAGTTTCCGCCGCCCCGCGGCCAGGCGGCCGGGCGGCCGAGCGACAGCAGCGGCTCGGAGTGGTCCCCGAGGCTGGCAGGGACACCAGCCTCCTCCGCGTCGACACGCGTTCCCCACGCGCGCCGCGGCCAGTGGCCCCGCGCATTCTCCGGGTCGGGCTTGGGGGAGGGGAGACCAGAGAAATGCGGGACTGTGGCCACCCGTCACTTTCAAGTGGCCCCGCCAGCAGCCCAGGGCGAGGAAAAGGAGAGACAAAAGGGCGCTGGGAGGGAGTCCCCACACTCCCTCGTACCCCTTGCGCCTGGCCCGGCCCTTACTCGTAGTGGCGGAAGATCTCGTTGGTGACTTTACAGTAGAAAACTTCCTCGTCGGGCCGCAGGTCCGCGGGAGGCTTCTGTCTCACAAACGGTTTTCGGTGAAGCAGCGGCATCTCCCGTACGCCCGCGGGCTCGCCCCGACCCTCGGCCGCCCGCGTCGGCCCCGCTTCCCTATCAAAATTGGAGGGAAAGAAAAACCGGTAAGGTGGGGAGCGCTCGGCGGCAGCGTGGGCCGGTCCGCGCGCTGGGGGAAGCTCGACTGCCTTTTGTGTGAGTGACGCGCCGCGGCTGCTACCGAATTCGCTCCTGCAGCTGCCGAGGTGTCGAGCGAGCGGAGCCGGCACCGCCTCTGCCCTCGGAGCGCGCCCTACCTCCTCTCGCCCCGCCGCGGGCTCACAATGGGGCCGGACACCCTGCCGCGGGCGGGCAGTGCGGGAGCCGCCGTGGCCCCCTCCCCCAGCGCCGGCTCCCCGCCCGCCGCCGCCGCCGCCAGGCTCACAACGTGCTCGGCGCGCAGCCGGTCCGGCGACCCAAAGCCGCGAGGGCGCTGGCCGCGGGCAGACCCCGGCGGCGCTCCGCTTTGTTCCCCCGCTCGCCTACACCTCCCAGCCGGCGCCGGCCGGCTCCCGAGCGACCGCACTGAGCCCCTCACCTGCGAGCACGCCGACTGCCACTTCTCCACCTTCGCAACTACAAAGACAGCGAGAGGAGGTTCGCTCCTCCCGGGGGGTCTCTTCTCGCCGGCCCCGCCGCGCCCCCGGCCGCCTCTTCTCCCGCTGCCACTGCCCGGCTGCGCGCGGGGGAATCGCGTCCCACCGCCACTTCCCCGCCTCTCGGAGCTCCTGGGAAGTTTCTGATCTACTTTCGGCTCCGAAGGAGGAAGAGCTGTTGGGAGGAGCTTTTCACTTCTCGCTTCTACCTTTTTATTGGCTACTCGATGACTTTTACAGCCTGTCACTGATACAGGAAGAGACGGCGGAGAGTCTGGGAGAGCTACATTATTAATTAATGGAGCAACCCCTTGCGAAGAATCAGAAGCATCCTCCATGTTTGAGATTATCAGCCAAAAGATCTAGGGAAAGCGCTGGGTTTTCATAAACACATGGCTAACAAAGTGAAGCCATCATCTTCATGTGAGGCACCAACGCTTGGCTACACGATGGGAAAGGGATTCCAATTACGATTTAACTTGTATTTTAAAGATGGGAAGAGAAATGAAGACTAAGAAATAAATTTTTTTGATATTTTTCTTCTTCAAAATTAGAGTTCATATCTCTAAAAATATTTTACATGTGTAAACATCCATCTTGAACAGAAAATACCTTTCTTGGTATCAGTTCTTTTTAATCCTTAGGGCAATTCAGTCAAAGATTTAGATAGCAAAGGAAAAGACCAAAAAAGTATACGTTAGAAAATGTCATCATGCCCCTAAGGACTCCTGCATAGGTAAAACTAAATAACACAAACGGTAACACAAAAGTAATATTTGCACCGATGTATTTACAAAGGATCAATGTTTAATTCAATTAGAATTTTAAAGATTATGGATTTACTAGTGAAATTTTCCCTAAAGCAACTTTCCTGTATCAGTAATTTTTATTTAGGAAACCAATTTGAATGTACATAATACATGTGACTTGAATTCAAAAGAGTTTTTGAAGTTAGAAGTAACTCAGAGTGTTTACTAGTAAGTTTTGTTTCTTTTAACTAGCTATGTTCTAAATATTCGTCTTTTTTGCTACTGCCCTTGACATTTGCTTATTTGCAGATTTACATGTAAGAATGAGTCTAAAAGTAAGTTTGAAGAACATTCAACAAAGGACGTTATTTCTTCTAATTACCCATGCTGTGAAATGATAATAGTTACAGAAATAATGTGGATTAGCTTTATATCTTCAAATCAAGTACATTTGTACTTTGGAGCAGAAAATACAAGAAATCTATTTAAATCAAGAGCTACCACTTTTGAACAACTTTGGCTGCTTTTGGCTACTCACACAACTAGCAAAATAAACATGTGAAAGACACTATATTCTCCACGTGTTTTAAAACTCATTAATAGTATTATGCACCTTACTTTATGAACATAAAAGTCACAGAAGTTTAGAAATGCTGTCATTAGCAAGTAAATACTTTAGCCTGGACAAATTCTTCAAAAAAGTATGCACTTAAAGATTGGGTGTTTTAAACTTGCCTCCAACTAGTATACTGAGTGACAAGTTAGAATTCCTTACCTAGAAAGTATCTATTAATTTCCCAGGTGAAAAATTTGGAGCTCACAAAGGTAGACTCAAAAGGGGGACAGGCGGATGGGTAATTTTCAACCTATATTGAAGTGTCAACCCTCACAACTCAAAATCCCAATTTAACTGTTAAGCTAAAAACAGATAAAATTCTCTCTGAATACTTAAGTATTTATATTTACTAGATTTCACTGTTTGATAGTTAAAATTACTTTGTTAAAATCATGATCAAAAGTAGTAATATTTATTTTAATTATTAAACACAAGATTTTAAACAGTTGGATTTTTTCTTATACTAACTTAAAATTGAAATTTTACTCTATTTCATCAAAAACTATCATCCTCAATTTTCCCACTATCATACTCATATTTCAGTACTATCATAACTCAATTCTGAGTTACATACATAGGATTTTAATGATTTGTGATATTTAATGTTACACACACTTCATTGTTATTTCAGAACAATATAAGTTTAGAAAATTATAATTAACATGTTCAAAAGTTTAGTTTTAATGTATTTATAGTACTTAATAGCACACCTAAACTGCCTCCTTAAATAACATTTAAAGTTATTCTACACATTTACTATTAAAAGCTTACTTATTTTGGTATCATGATTACTTCCTTGCTTTATTAATTACTACTTGGCTTTTGGGAGTAAAAAGCTCATTGCTGTATTCAGAAAGTAGTTATGCTGTCAGGAAATAGGACTTTGTGTAAAACAAAAATTGGAAGGAAACTATGAAAGCTAAAGTAGTGCAGAAAAAAAAGAGAAAGCAATGACATTAAAATTATTTAATTTTTTAAGAATTTAATTTAATTTAACATTTATCAAGTTCCTTTTGTGTGCCAAGATACTGTACTACCTCATGTAAGGGATACAATATAAATGTATCCTGTCCTCAAAAAATGTACAATCTTGTAAGAGATGATGTAAACACAACCAATACAAACAATGGGTGAGTCTTAATGCTCATGAGTAACATAATGCAAAAAGAGAAGCATAAAGGATTAGAAGAAAATGTAAAATGAAGACCCAGAATAGGTCCTAAATGAAGTTGTCCACAGGGCATGATTTGAAGAGCAACCAAGAACTCATGCTCCAACATATCCTCACCAGTCTCAAAACGCAACCCCATAATCTCCATTGGTTACCCTTCTGGGTGAAGACACTAGTGTAAAATGTAAATGTGCTAGTTAGGCGGGACATATATTAATCTAATATTATCAAGACATAGTTTGATAAAAATCTCAATTTTGAGAAACTATACTGCCTTAAGTGAAGACAAAACAAGATTATGGAATATAAATTGTAAAAGTTTGAGCTAGAACAATTTTCCTGCTTCCTGTTGGCTAACATAAGAAAACCTTAGTTTGGTGAGACAGTATCACTAAGAGCTGAAAGAAACTCTTGAGAACTCAGTTAATTCTTTCATTTTGCACCTGAGGAAACTGAAGCTGAGCAACTGGAATCCAGGTCTCCTGACTCCGTGTCCAGTCAATCTCTCTAGACCACACTGCTCTTTCCTTGGATCTGATAATATATAATTTTCTTGTATAATCTACTCTTCTATTAGTAGAAGTTGGCTGTCCATTGGAATCACCTGAAGAGTTTTTGAAACCTACCCCACCTGGGTAGGGGCCCAGGCATTGGTAGTTTAAAAATCTACTCTGGTAATTCTAATGTACTGCGCCAAGCTTGAGAAGTACTGTGTGGTCAGAGGAGATTGGATTGTTGATATGGATGGAAGTGGTAATGTTGGCAAATTTGGAAGACATCTTTTTATTGAACCCCTTCTGATTAGAGTCATGAATTATGGGATGGTAGTGGAGGTTGAAAGACTAGTCTATGGCATCATCATTATCATAGTAATAGTTGACATTTAATGAATGCTTCCAACTTGTCAAGCATGGTGCTAAGGGCTTTAAATAAATCATTTCATCTCATGAAATTGTCACCTCAAACTAAATACTAATTATTTCCATTTTACAGATGAAGCCACTGAGGCTCAGAGAGGTTAATTAAGTAGCATGCCCAAGGTCATACAGCTCAAAATTGAGACTCTATCTCAAAAAAAAAAAAGCCTGAATTCTAGTTTTATCAACTCCAGAATCCAAGCTTCTTACTTGGATCCTGTATTTCCACAGGTTGATTTGCTAATCTAGCTCAGGTGTAAATTCAATCAGGGAACTTGATCCTATGTACTAAACAATTTAGAACTTGTAATGATTAAGAATGGTTTTTGGTTTTTTTGTTTGTTTGTTTGTTTTGAGATAGAGTCTTGCTCTGTTGATCACTTGAAGCCAGGAGTTTGAGACCAGCCTGGGCAACACAGCAACAACCCATCTCTACAAAAAAATTTTAAAAATTAGTCAGTTGTGGTGGCACATGCTTGTAGTCTCAGCTATCAGGGAGGCTGAGGCAGAAGGATCTCTTGAGCCAGTAGTGCGAGCTTACAGTGAGATATAATCATGCCACCGACTACAACATGGGTGATAGAGGGAGACCCTATCTCTAAAACCTAAATAAATAATAAAATAAAATAAGAGGTTCTCAACCTCACTCATAATAAGAGAAGCGCAAATTAAAACTACACTGAGATGACATTTTTCATCCTTCGGATTGGCAAAGATCACCATCATATGTGGGTAAGTCTGTGTGGAAAAGGCATAATGTCTATAGAGGGCAAATTGGCAATATTTATCCAAAATTACAAATGCACATAGAAGTTACGTCTCTAGGAACTTTAACAAGAAGTTCCATCTCTAGGAAGATATCCCACAAATATATTTGAATATAATGAGAGTCTTTATTTTGCCTTTATTAGCATAATAAATAAATAGCATAATACTAAAACCAACAGAAATGTCCATATTACATAAATTGTGCTATATCCATACAGTGAAATAGTATGTAGAAATGAGAAAGTTAAAAAAAACAGGGTACAGAAAAATGTGCATAGAAGGTTTTAATATACAATTGTCAACTATTACTGTGACAATGCCGATGCCATAGGGGAATTGGTTCCAGGACTGCCCTCCTATAACCAAATCTGCACATATTCAAGCCCTACAGTCAGCCCTGTGGAACCCCCTATGGGAAAAGTTGGCCCTTGGTCTGGGCAGGTTTCATATCTCATGCCTGATCCTTATATACAAGTTCAAACCCGTGTTGTTCAAGGGTAAACCGTACATACATATTGGCAATTATGGAAGGAGAGAAAACTAAGCAGTTAAAATTCAGAACCCAGTTCTGAATGTATTTTTGCTAAATTCTAACCTAAGAGTTTGTAATAAAATGTGCTGATGCTACAGACTCATATAAAATAAAAGCATTTAGGGTTTTCTCCCTTTTATTTCTGTTGCCATCATCATACCTAGAAACCAGGAGTCATGCTACCACTCTGTTTTCTCTAGTTCAACTGTTTGAGTCAACATACCCATCTCTTTATTTCCTTAGCACAACTGAAATTTCTCTTTTTCAGCTAAAAAACATAAATTTCACTTCAAGCTACCAGTAAACAATTTCTCAATAACTTAGCATCTAGACACCAGATACCTGGCCTTTAGGAGCCAGTTTACCTACCAGAACAAGCATCTTGCCTGATTCAAGTAAAAAAACCAAATTCC